TTGCTATTTTGGCCAACTGTGTGGTTGTTATGTTGGCCAACGTTTGACCATGGGCCGTGTGTGGAGCGGCCGCTAAAGGCTGGTAGAGAAGACAGAGCCCGGTCGTGCCCTTAGATGGCAAGAGCTGAAAGGTTAAAGGTTAAGGTTACATGTTACCGGGGTGCTAAATGCTCATGTCAGAATCTGCAACACCCAACTTTTTTTTTCACTCAAGCTGGTCCGTGGTGTCATACCACCTCACCACGTGGTGTCATACTACCTCACCACGTGGTGTCATACCATCTCACCACGCACTCAGCCACCTATGTACCTCCCACCCACCCACATGTTGGCATCTCCCCCCCCCCCCCCCCCCCTCACACATAGCTTCTAGTTTGTCCTCTGCCAAAAACGACCAAAACACAGGTTGCCGTTTAGCGCCCAAGGTCACGGACGATCTCAGACACACCGGTGTGAGGGGGGGGGGGGGGGGTGAGGACATGCAACAGGTGAGACACGTGACCGGAAGTTGGATTTATGACCGAGCACGAGATTAGCGTTTTACGTTGAGTGTTGCAACTAAAGCGATCTGCGCATAAAGGTTGCGCAAGACAAGGCCGCATAATGGCCAGGGCTTGTACAGGGACTAGGTAGTGGTACAGGGACTGGGTAGTGGTACAGGGTAGTGGTACAGGGACTGGGTAGTGGTACAGGGACTGGGTAGTGGCACAAGGACTGGGTAGTGGAACAGGGACGGGGTAGTGGCACAGGGTAGTGGTACAGGGACTGGGTAGTGGAACAGGAACGGGGTAGTGGCACAGGGTAGTGGTACAGGGACTGGGTAGTGGCACAGGGACTGCCCCCCCTCCCTGCCACCAAGTTCTACCAACGTAGAAACGCTAACTAATAAAATTTGCGACATCCTCACCCCTTCACACAGTGAGGGTCGTGTCTTTGATCTGTGGCCCAAAGGTCAAATTAGAGGGGTCATTAACATAATTATGTTAAACATCGATATCAAACACAGGATGTTGCACCTTCAAGTATCGATGTGTTACTCAGTATTGAGACACTTCAGTACTCAGTACCGCTGTCATGTTAAATGTATAGTTGTGACCCATCAAACCTATTACAGTGGTGTCACCAAACCTATTATTGTGGTGACCCATCAAACCTACAGAGGTGACCCATCAAACCTATTATAGTGGTTACCCATGAAACTTAGTGGTGACACATCAAACCGATTATAGTGGTGACCCATCAAACCTATTATAGTGGAGGTGACCAATCAAACCTATTATAGTGGTGACCCATGAAACTTACAGTGGTGACACATCAAACCTATTACAGTGGTGACCCATCAAACTTAGTGGTGACACACCAAACCTATTACAGTGGTTACCCATCAAACTTACAGTGGTGACACACCAAACCTATTACAGTGGTGACCCATCAAACTTACAGTGGTGACACACCAAACCTATTACAGTGGTTACCCGTCAAACTTACAGTGGTGACACACCAAACCTATTATTGTGGTGACCCATCAAACCTATAAAACAATGGTCACCACCATACCAAAATCAATACTTGGCTCCACCAAATGAACACAAATACAAAATTAAATTTAAAAAACAAAACAAAAACTCATTTGATCATGTTTTTATTATTAATTTATTCTTTTTTTTTTTGCTGTATTTTATTTTTTACATTTATATTTTTTTTCATTATTTTTAAACAATTTTTTTGTTTATCCTGTCTGGATGTTTTTAAGTGTTTTCTAAACCAGATAAAATTTTTTGAATGACATAACATCAGGCACAACACCACCAGAAAACTATACACCACTCAAATCTCAACAAAGTGATAAGAAGACCAACAGCACAAAAACTCTAATCTAGCCACAGGTCAATCAATACACAAAGATAATTAAAATTAATTTACCCCCCCCCCCCACACTGTGGGATATGCAGATAGAGGAAATAAATTTTAACTGCACAAAGATGTTTGATATATTTGTACAGACTGTGTAAAACCTCTTTATTTAAAACATAATTTAGACAAGAGCTTTAACCCTAAATAAGATGTCAAAGTCATGTTTTTTTCTGCCTCAGTCAAAGTCATGAGCCTAGACTGTTAGCCTGAGTCATCAAGCTCAACTAAAGAGCCTCTATGTAGACTACATTCATGGAGTTATCCACAGTAAACGGTACACAACTAAAGGAGTTTCTCAGGCTAATTCAGGCCGGCCCATACTGCACGACTTGGGCAAGTTAAAACATGACTTTTTTTAGCAGATAAACAATAACAAAATAGCCGTTTCTTTAAAGTAATTGATAGTGACATTCTGAGCGTACTGCATTATTCTTGGTAAAATTAAAAGTTGACAATAATTTTTTTTAAAATCATCCTAAATGAGAAATGAAGGAATAAAAAACACCACCAAATGTTTACTTGAGATAAAACCACCAAACCAGTGGTATAAAGAAAATTGGATAAGATGTTAGAACAGCACCTGAATGATGGCGCTTCTTTACATTAAAAACGTATTGCTCTTAAACTAAGTTGGGTACACGCCTCACATAGCACAACAGATGGGCACATCAACACTTGTGTACAAGTGATTCTATGTGGGGGAAGCTGCATTCACATCATTGCTTGGTCAAACCAAACATTAGATGGTTGAATGACTGCCCAAACAAAAGATGCTTTAGTGCTGTCAACAGTTCAAAAATGACCAATGATTTGAACAGAGCTAATGAATTGCCATGAAATTGATCAGAAAAAAATGAGTGCACTTGAAACAAGTTAAAAGAGAAAGAACTTGGCGTTATCAGTTTTGAGTAACACGGAATGACAAAGTTCATGGCTAGTTTCTCCAGTGAAGATGTTCCACTACTTTGGGCAGTAGCCACCACACACAATCAACAGGTAGAGCGGACACAGAGAACACACACAAGTGCCTGGGACACAGCAATCAATACGCTGATACCAATCTGCCTTTCAGCAGTCAGACCATCTCCCTCCCCGGCTTAGTGACTAGTTCAGCAAGTTACAGCCAACAGATTTTTACACAGCCATTAATGACTACATGCCAACAAAGGAATCTCACCCTACTCTAGCTTATGGCTAGTGCTACCCTACTCTTGCTTATAGCTAGTGCTATCCTCCTTAATGAACTTATTTATAACATCTATTACTGGCTATCCTAATTTTCACCTGATTAGCTAATATAACAATGTAAAAAAAACCGAATACACTAATTCTACAAAATATAATATTTAGTAGGTGAATAAAACAATTTCTATCAAACATTGATGCTTGCCTTTATCTGGCAACATATAGAAAGCTATCTAGAACAAAATCATAAGTGTGTATATCAGATATACTTGTCCAGGTAGGAACTAAAGAGACCAGCTAGTCCACAAGTTTCTCATCAAGCTAAATCTATACAAATCTCACCACATCATAAATAACATGTTCAACCAATTATTGATTCATCTAATACTCAGATTTATGGCAACCAAAATTTTGCCAATAGTTTATAACAAAAGCAACCTAAGCCAGCTGTTAATTTTTAAATAAATTTTTTTACAGACAAATCAATAAGTCATGTTTTTAACTCTGTTTTTTCAATCTATGAAAAAGGCAATTAATGACAAAATTTTGACAAATAAAATAGAATGAGATCTGCAAATCATGAATGAATATATACAAGGAATAAAATCATGAAATAACATTACTCTGATATATATATAAATTTATTTATAAATATAGTATATTGAATCTGATTTGTGAAGTGAGTTGATATCACAATTGAGAGATTAAGACAAGGGGGTGAACCACTGACAACAGCAACAGGAGGAAAGAGACAGCAGCACAGCCCCATGGGTGGAGGGACATGGCACAGCCCACTGGGTGGAGGGACATGGCACAGCCCCCACTGGGTGGAGGGACATGGCACAGCCCCCACTGGGTGGAGGGACATGGCACAGCCCACTGGGTGGAGGGACATGGCACAGCCCCCACTGGGTGGAGGGACATGTCACAGCCCCCCCACTGGGTGGAGGGACATGGCACAGCCCCCACTGGGTGGAGGGACATGGCACAGCCCCCACTGGGTGGAGGGACATGGCACAGCCCACTGGGTGGAGGGACATGGCACAGCCCCCACTGGGTGGAGGGACATGGCACAGCCCACTGGGTGGAGGGACATGGCACAGCCCCCACTGGGTGGAGGGACATGGCACAGCCCACTGGGTGGAGGGACATGGCACAGCCCCCACTGGGTGGAGGGACATGGCACAGCCCCCACTGGGTGGAGGGACATGGCACAGCCCACTGGGTGGAGGGACATGGCACAGCCCCCACTGGGTGGAGGGACATGGCACAGCCCACTGGGTGGAGGGACATGGCACAGCCCACTGGGTGGAGGGACATGGCACAGCCCACTGGGTGGAGGGACATGGCACAGCCCACTGGGTGGAGGGACATGGCACAGCCCACTGGGTGGAGGGACATGGCACAGCCCACTGGGTGGAGGGACATGGCACAGCCCACTGGGTGGAGGGACATGGCACAGCCCCCCCTGGGTGGAGGGACATGGCACAGCCCACTGGGTGGAGGGACATGGCACAGCCCACTGGGTGGAGGGACATGGCACAGCCCACTGGGTGGAGGGACATGGCACAGCCCCCACTGGGTGGAGGGACATGGCACAGCCCCCACTGGGTGGAGGGACATGGCACAGCCCACTGGGTGGAGGGACATGGCACAGCCCACTGGGTGGAGGGACATGGCACAGCCCACTGGGTGGAGGGACATGGCACAGCCCACTGGGTGGAGGGACATGGCACAGCCCACTGGGTGGAGGGACATGGCACAGCCCACTGGGTGGAGGGACATGGCACAGCCCACTGGGTGGAGGGACATGACACAGCCCACTGGGTGGAGGGACATGGCACAACCCCCACTGGGTGGAGGGACATGACACAGCCACCACTGGGTGGAGGGACATGACACAACCCCCACTGGGTGGAGGGACATGGCACAGCCCACTGGGTGGAGGGACATGGCACAGCCCACTGGGTGGAGGGACATGGCACAACCCCCACTGGGTGGAGGGACATGTATCCAACCTTCTTTTTTCACTGGAAGACTGTGTTGCTATACATAGATCTGAGGAAATCAGCCCAGCAATCATTATCAGTTGAATCTATACTACAAGCAAAAAACCTGGCAATCAGCCAGTTGGCCAATGCAGTAATTTATCAGACCATGTGGATTTAAAAGCCAGAGATTTGAACTTTTCAGATAAAACAAGACAGCAGTAAGATAAAAGTTACTGCATGTATCAGTTTAAAAAAATATTATTTTTACCTTTGAAAATATGGGATCAAGTTTTTAAAAGAAATGTCTAAAAAGTAGGCCAAGCAGGGACAAGATTCATCTAACTCCCCACTGGACCCAAGTTTGATTGTCAAGAGTGTATATTACCACAAATTGTTATCAAGACAACAGATTATAAAGTAGTGACCACTTGCTAACTAGCTTGTGGTAAGATTAAGGTTTATCAAAAACTTGAGACATTTATCATCACAGATCCAGGCCCACTTGTTGCTAACTAAACTCTTTCAAACTGGTCTATGTAGGCTACTTGAATAGCTGTACACTTGAACATTTCCTGGAGCACAAATTAGGCTACTCAAGGGCTTTTATTTCATGTAAGAAGAAGCCTTTCTAGTACTTCTGCTAAAATATTTTTTTAGATACATTTACAAAAGATGTTTAATAAAACCAAAACAACTTCCTTCAGAATTAAATAAACTATCACAAAAATTGTAAAGAGAAGCAGTTTTTTTTAAATATCACAAAATGAAAAGGAGAAAAATGTAAAGAGTACTGAGCTTTGTCCACTAAACACTAGGAGTGTAAGCAAAGAAAGGCAATTAAGTAGATGAGCTTTCAAATCACCTTATAACTGGTACATGATCACAGGCCAACAAGTTTCCACTAAGCTGCTTTGTGCTAGGGAAATTTACATGTCATTTGTTCAAATTTTTTTTATTTCAAATTGGTTGCCTTTGATAACAATAAAAACTAATCAGATGGGATTCAAAAACAATAAAACTATTTACCAGTGATGGTTGAATAAACAAATAAGACATGCCTGAATCAATTATAGCAGAAACAACCTACAACTGTGAAACCATTGTTAGAACTCAGAAAAATATAACTCACTGCTAATACTGTTTACTACTACTAACATGTGTTTTCAAAAATTAAATATATTACTAAACTATCACTTCTAGTAATAATTGTAATTTAAAAAAAAAACACTTCGATTTTATACATATATATTTATAGGCTATATAGATATATGTTAATTCTTAGAAATGTTTTTAAGGAGAAAAACATGTACATGTAAAATAAACTCCCTAAACATAGTAGACACAAAAACAGTAGACCTATTGTATTAGTTTTTTTTCTTCTATTCAAAAGACAATAATACCAGATAATAGTTTGCTTGTAGCTGGATGAGCAAAAATTGTGGTAAATAAAGATGACGTCCAACACACAACACAAGAGCACTGACGACAGATGAAGAATACCACCAACTACACTTAGAAACACAACAGCAGAACACTGATCCAACAACTAGAGAAAGAAAACACCACTAGTAGGAGTTGCACAGATTTTTAAAATCCACATTAAGGTTAGATTAGGATAATCAAAAGCGCCAAATTCTTGAAGCTCAAATCACAATCCATTTTTTTACTGAACCATGCATCAAAAGTCAAATTGACAGTATGATATATTTCAAACATAGAAACAAAAATTGCATATTTATTTACATTACAAATTATAATGAACATGGTATAAACAAATGTGTGTGTATTGTTGTGTGAGATGAGAGTTTGAGTGGTGTGTGTGTGTGTTGTGAGATGAGTGCTAGAGTGGCTAACTTGAGGAATGATCTAGACAGAGTGATTTTTGGAGCTGTCAATCATTAAAAATGGATGGATCAATGAGTGCTGGTTTAGTCAACTAAATAATCTATTTTTAAAACCTTGTGCCAACATACATTGCATTTAGTGAACACAACTGTTTTAATCTTTAAACTTAAAGTACCCCCATCCAGCTTTCAACAGAAGATATTTATCAATGGAACACTTAGCTTGCTTCAGGGACTAAAAAAACAGCAGGCATCAAAGAACACAGGCTTGTGGATTTTGTTTAAAGATCCAGTATAAGAATCAATACCATGGCCATAAAAACAGCTATTACTTCACTACATTGACAGAAATCAATGAAAAGAAATAAAATAGTAATAGAGTCAACAGCTTAACACTTACATCCATTTGGAAGATGAATAGTAAATATATATATATATTTTTGAATGGAAATAGAAGACACTGAATTTTGTATGGTATCAGCAGAAAAAACATGATTATATCAATAAAATATATGTATATATCCATTATGAGCAGCAAACAACAAGTTTTTATGTAATGTTGATATCCTGCGGGTACAATACATATGGCTATAATCTGGTCATTAAAGAGCATACGCCAAGTTGTTTTATACACAATGTTCAGCTAGTATTATTCAAGTCAAACTTGAATTGAGAGCAGTTTGAAGTTCATTCTTGTGCAAGTTAAACATATTTATGTAGAAACTCAGGAAATTTAATTTTTTAACGATATCAGCTAAAATAATAATTACATATGGAGATCTGCACCAGTTCATCAAGGAGAAATTGTTGAAATCAAATCAGAGGAAAAAAAGGACATGATGTGCTGTGTTTACATCTGGGTTGATCCCTGCCTTTCTCTAGCCCGAGCTAACTAAGAGCAGTGAAGGAATGCCGGACAATAAGGGCACGATGACGAATTGCTAATTTGGTGATAGGAGGAGGAAGGCATGGGATAGCTGTAGTACTGGTTACTACTGCCATTGGTGTCAAATGGACCATAGAAGACCTGATCAATCACAAGGTTGTTCAGCTGATCAAGCTGATGCAACTCCACACATTTGATTTGTGCCTTGCGCTCCTGGGCCATGTACACCTGGTATGCCAGCTGATGGATCAAGTTTAAAGTTTGACGCCGTTCATGGCCCATAAGGCAAATGGTACTCTCATCCACAACTCTGTACAGTGTGGTGAGGTACTCATACTTCATATCCTCATCGCCATTAAAATGATTCACCAGATAGGCTTCAAGCTTCTGACGCTGCTGATTAATGTCACTGAAGTCAATAAAGAACCTTGAACACATGTATCTCTCCATTGTCCTGATATCTATTTCATTTGCTGGAGTATAACCTCGGACAAGGAGATTACAATACTTGAGCAGGCCACCCCCTCTGATTTCTTCGGGGTTTCTTGTGGCAATTAGTTTGTTATCTAAATGATACCAGGCCTCTGAAAAGTCTCCATAGAGACTCTCAGCCACAATAGTAGGGTAGAAGTGCTCTGTCATTGGAGCTTCAGAGATATCATAGAAAGTTAACAGGCTATCTAAAATAATTTGAAAAGAATCTACACTGAATTCAAACTGCCTCTTCATTTTGTCTACAAATTTAAGTTCAACATTCTTACGTGTTTTGTGCGAAAGTGAAATGAGACTCCATCTATCACCATGTTCATTGCACACTTTAACCATTTTTTGCACATATGCTTCCTTTAGACTACAACTACTAATTTTCTCTTTATTAATACCTTCTGGAAGAAAGTTGACAAGGCATCCCAGTACACAATTACGAATCTTCTGAAGCTCATTTTGATTTGATAAATCCACTCCGAAAATCAAGTCTACATCATTAAACTCTTGAGCATTTGTAGTTCCAAGAATGTAACTGGCAGCTCCACCGTTCAATCGAATGTCCCTAACACTGACACCATCAGCTGTTAGTTTATCTTTAACAACCTGAACAAGATCTTTTAGCTTCACATCAAGTGTTGGGAAGTTACCTCGACCATGAATTGGGATGACATCTTCCATAACTTCATGTAGCCTTGCCACTTGCTCATAGCAAAGAACTTGAAAGCGGTTGCTGCAACTCACTGAAGCCATGCCGGGGTCGGTAAAAGGTATTGCCGTGTCTGCAAGTAAAGATGCAAAATGTAGATGTTACGTACGGCCTTCCTACCTTGTCACCTACTGCCAGCTTACCCGGCAGAGCGTAATGTGCAGTTTTCACAACTTCTTACGCATTCAATTATAAACCGAATCACAGAAAAATCATTACGCATAATTTATAAACAAAAAAAAATCTTAACTTCTCCATAAAAAGCTAAAACATAGACGAATCATAAAATTGGATTTAATACTTTTACGTTAAAAGTATTTAAATTTATTATATACCAATTATCTTTAATGTTTTAGTAATGCTTAATTTATTGCTTTCTTTTTCGACCCCAGCCTACTCCGCATAAACAGCTGATGGCCGATTTAAAGAAGAGTTCTGATTGGCTGACGAAAAAAATCGAGCACAGAGATCTGTCAAGCTATGGTGCAATGAAAAGAGGTGGTGTAAGCAGAAATAAAAACAGACTAGGCCTACCCTAGAATAGATCCTAGATCTATTTTTTCGAATATCAAGATTATTTTACTTATGTAGTTTGTTCAGGAAACCTGTAGTTTTAACAGATTCAAAATACTTATCATATTCAATTACATTTCTTATAGGCCTAGGCCTAAATAATTTAATTATTAAAATGCATGAAGTCTGAAGAATTTCGCTAAATGATAATATAATAATAATCTAAATCTAGACTAGAATATAAATTTTATAAATCCTAAATGTCATTTTTTACAAAACAATTAATAAGATTGCTTTTGTTTTAATTTTTTTACGTTGTAACAATTGATCCAACTCTAGATCTAAATATTTTTATAACTAGGTCTATAGATCTAGTAGCCTAAGCCTATGGGAGATAACTAGATCTAGTTACTAGACTGGACCAGCCATATGCTAGACTTGAGCGGAAAAGTGTGTTTATTAAAGGTGGCGTCAAATTGATGTACATATTTTGTAACTGAACAGACCTAAATCGTCGAAATATCTAGTTATAGATCTATTCAAACACTTAACATAATATAGACTCTAGTTTAAAAAAAAAAAACAACAATATGGCTCTCTACAGTCTAATACCAACTAGACATAGACTCCAGTTAGTCTTCTTAGTATAATAGAAATAGATCTTAATTTCTAAATATATAAATAAAAAAGAGGCATATAGATCAAAATAAAGCTAAATACTAAATAATGAGACTATATCTAGATTTAATTTGTAAATACTTACATTCTACAATGAAAAAAAAAGAATGCGTCCTTTATTATTAATTAATCGCAAGTTCTAGATCAGAAATCACATTTCTATGTAAGAGATATTAAGATTGTATCCTCTATACTTAAATCTGAATAAATCATAAATCTGTCCAGAAGTAAATGTTTACATACAAGTATTGCGTAGCGTTATAAATATATAGTCTCCACAGTCTAATTATAGACACTGATTAATGATACAAATTTAAGATTGCGTAATAGAAACGTCTGCAAACGAAGAAGGCGATACGCTGCAGCAACTCGCTCAACGTCTGCGTGACGACTGAGCCTCGTAGCCTGGTGCTTCGTAAGGAAATATAATAGTATTTTCCACAGCGGGCTACGATGGAGCCAAAAATAGACGCAGGGACTTCATTCCATTCATGAAGCGTGGGGACGGCAAGTCCATGGAAAGGGTAGTGCTGACGTCATATTCCACGACACTAAATCGATTTAATTCCACATTTTGTGGAACCAGGGTCTAGAGAGGAGGCTCAGACGCTAAATATGTGGGCCGAAATGTCTTTTCACGAGAGTTAGAACCTTCGAGAAGACATTCTTAAAGAAATAAATTACGATTGCTAAGTTATTTGATCTAGCTACTTTAGACTTAAGATATCTATCACCCGATTGTTTGAACCAAAACTAGCATATGTTATCGTAGGTATATGACGTCAATAGCACAATAATATTAATTAAAAATAGATTTGAGTATTGTGTTTAGACTATATCAAAACATGATCAAATAATTCTTTTAATAAAACATGAAAAAGCTTCAGGATTGAATGGACATTATTTAATAACTGGGTAGGAAAAGTCGAATCGATTTTTTTCAAAATCTTTTGTGATGGGATGAGACTAAATTTAGACCTTGTAACTTTGGACCTCGCTTTGAAAAGAGACGGTTTGGTATTTTAACAGTCCTGCTTTAGCGAATTCTACAACATTAGATACTTAAAAAATACCACCAGAGTAAATTCTAGAACACTAGACAATATAAAAGCCACACGTGTTTTGTTAGACACTGTGGACGTCTACAGCTACAGATATGACACTGAGGACGTCTACAGATATGATACTGAGGTTATGTGTGGGCGAGGGGTTTTGTGTGGGCGAGAGGTTCTGTGTGGGCGAGAGGTTCTGTGTGGGCGAGGGGTTTTGTGTGGGCGAGAGGTTCTGTGTGGGCGAGAGGTTCTGTGTGGGCGAGAGGTTCTGTGTGGGCGAGGGGTTTTGTGTGGGCGAGAGGTTCTGTGTGGGCGAGAGGTTCTGTGTGGGCGAGGGGTTTTGTGTGGGCGAGAGGTTCTGTGTGGGCGAGAGGTTCTGTGTGGGCGAGAGGTTCTGTGTGGGCGAGGGGTTTTGTGTGGGCGAGAGGTTCTGTGTGGGCGAGAGGTTCTGTGTGGGCGAGGGGTTTTGTGTGGGCGAGAGGTTCTGTGTGGGCGAGAGGTTCTGTGTGGGCGAGAGGTTCTGTGTGGGCGAGGGGTTTTGTGTGGGCGAGAGGTTCTGTGTGGGCGAGAGGTTCTGTGTGGGCGAGGGTTTTTGTGTGGGCGAGAGGTTCTGTGTGGGCGAGGGGTTCAGTGTGGGCGAGGGGTTCTGTGTGGGCGAGAGGTTCTGTGTGGGCGAGTGTGTGGCCGATTGTTTCTTTGTGGGCGATGAGTTCTTGTGGGCTAGGGGTTCTGTGTGGGTGAGTTTGTGGGCGGTGGTTTCTTTGTGGGCGAGATTCTGTGTGGGCGAGGGGTCTGTGTGGGCGAGGGATCATTTTATTGATAGGTGTAAAAAATATTGTTCATAGAGTGTTTCATTCAGTGAGCAGTGAAGGGGGGGGGGTAGATTGGCATATTATATTGAGTGTGGTGTGGGTGTTATTTGGGGGAAGGGGGGGGGGGAGGGGTATATTGGCATATTATATTGAGTGTGGTGTGGGTGTTATTTGGGGGAAGGGTGGAGAGGGGTATATTGGCATATTATATTGTGTGGTGTGGGTGTTATTTGGCCGGGGGGGGGCGTATTATGTTGGTGGTTACGGTGTTATCTTATAATCGTTTTGAAGTTGTGCTTGTTTAATCACCAGAACGAATCCATCTTAAATCACGTCTGTGCAATGTGTAAGCTAGCACCATCTGCTGGTGTAATAGCTAGCTAATGTAATGGCCAGCCTTACAGTTTTTACAGCGAGAAAATAAACATAAACAACGCATTGACTGGGGATGCGAGTATTGACTGAATGAATCGAATACACCAATCGAATACGCCCACTATTTTTGTCCAGGGTCACGTGGGATGGGTGTATTGATTGAGGTTAGGGTATGGACGCGAATTGACGTCATAGGTTTAAGACTACAGCTGTCGCCAGGGGGAGGAGGGGGGGGGGGGTGGGATGGTGGGAGCTGACAGCGGCTAAATGGCTCTGGGAAAACAATTTTGTTTTATTGACCTCACGTTGACCCCACAATGACCTCACAAAGACCTCACGCATCCGATCAATCACTCACCTACCCTATCCCAGTCACTCACCTACCCTATCCCAGTCATCCCAGTCACTCACCTACCCTATCCCAGTCACTCACCTACCCTATCCCAGTCACCCCAGTCACACACCTACCCTATCCCAGTCACTCACCTACCCTATCCCAGTCACTCACCTACCCTATCCCAGTCACTCACCTACCCTATTCCAGTCACTCACCTACCCTATCCCAGTCACTCACCTACCCTATCCCAGTCACTCACCTACCCTATCCCAGTCACTCACCTACCCTATCCCAGTCACTCACCTACCCTATCCCAGTCACTCACCTACCCTATCCCAGTCACTCACCTACCCTATCCCAGTCACTCACCTACCCTATCCCAGTCACTCACCTACCCTATCCCAGTCACTCACCTACCCTATCCCAATCACTCACCTACCCTATCCCAGTCACTCACCTACCCTATCCCAGTCACTCACCTACCCTATCCCAGTCACTCACCTACCCTATCCCAGTCACTCACCTACCCTATCCCAGTCACTCACCTACCCTATCCCAGTCACTAACCTACCCTATCACAGTCACTCATCTACCCTATCCCAGTCACTCACCTACCCTATCCCAATCACTCACCTACCCTATCCCAGTCACTCACCTACCCTATCCCAGTCACTCACCTACCCTATCCCAGTCACTCACCTACCCTATCCCAGTCACTCACCTACCCTATCCTAGTCACTCACCTACCCTATACCAGTCACTCACCTACCCTATCCCAGTCACTCACCTACCCTATCACAGTCACTCACCTACCCTATCCCAGTCACTCACCTACCCTATCCCAATCACTCACCTACCCTATCCCAGTCACTCACCTACCCTATCCCAGTCACTCACCTACCCTATCCCAGTCACCCACCTACCCTATCCCAGTCACTCACCTACCCTATCCCAGTCACCCCAGTCACTCACCTACCCTATCCCAGTCACCCCAGTCATCAACCTACCCTAGCCCAGTCACCCACCTACCCTATCCCAGTCACTCACCTACCCTATCCCAGTCACCCCAGTCACCCACCTACCCTATCCCAGTCACTCACCTACCCTATCCCAGTCACCCCAGTCACCCACCTACCCTATCCCAGTCACCCACCTACCCTATCCCAGTCACTCACCTACCCTATCCCAGTCATCCCAGTCACTCACCTACCCTATCCCAGTCACATATTTTCTTAGGCTAGAAGCGCCCCCCCCCCCCTCCCCCCACCCACAACCCTGACACAGTCTCAAGGGTTGACTGTACAACCCCAGCTCAAAACCCCCAGTATTACGCAATCTCGCCTCGGGGAGCTGATGGTAGTGGGGTGTTAAAGAGCGGGGGGAGTGGGGGGAGGGGGTATCTTCTCAACTGTTAGTGTTAGGGTTAGTAAACTCTTTATATCATAATCCGAAGATGGATAACTCAAGGTATGTGATTGGCTGCTTAATTACACGAGACTCGAGCTCATTATTGACGATTGATGTGGAGAAATATTCCCTCAGTGGATGACTAACATTGAGAGATGGGGGGGGGGGGGGGGGGGGAGGGTTGTATGAAGTCAAGTCCTAGTGTGAGGTTGCGGTTGTTTTGGTCAGGTTTATGTGTGACAGTAAATATTGCGGTTGTTTTGGTCAGGTTTTTGTGTGACAGTAAATATTGCGGTTGTTTTGGTCAGGTTTTTGTGTGACGGTAAATATTGCGGTTGTTTTGGTCAGGTTTTTGTGTGACAGTAAATATTGCGGTTGTTTTGGTCAGGTTTTTGTGTGACAGTAAATATTGCGGTTGTTTTGGTCAGGTTTTTGTGTGACAGTAAATATTGCGGTTGTTTTGGCCAGGTTTTTGTATGACAGTAAATATTGCGGTTGTTTTGGTGAGGTTTTTGTGTGACAGTAAATATTGCGGTTGTTTTGGCCAGGTTTTTGTATGACAGTAAATATTGCGGTTGTTTTGGTGAGGTTTTTGTGTGACAGTAAATATTGCGGTTGTTTTGGTCAGGTTTTTGTGTGACAGTAAATATTGCGGTTGTTTTGGTCAGGTTTTTGTGTGACAGTAAATATTGCGGTTGTTTTGGTCAGGTTTTTGTGTGACAGTAAATATTGCGGTTGTTTTGGTCAGGTTTTTGTGTGACAGTAAATATTGCGGTTGTTTTGGTCAGGTTTTTGTGTGACAGTAAATATTGCGGTTGTTTTGGTCAGGTTTTTGTGTGACAGTAAATATTGCGGTTGTTTTGGTCAGGTTTTTTATGTGACGGTAAATATTGCGGTTGTTTTGGTTAGTTTTTTTATGTGACGGTAAATATTGCGGTTGTTTTGGTCAGGTTTTTGTGTGACGGTAAATATAGCGGTTGTTTTTGTTAGTTTTTTTATGTGACGGTAAATATTGCGGTTGTTTTGGTTAGTTTTTTTATGTGACGGTAAATATTGCGGTTGTTTTGGTCAGGTTTTTGTGTGACGGTAAATATTGCGGTTGTTTTGGTTAGTTTTTTTATGTGACGGTAAATATTGCGGTTGTTTTGGTTAGTTTTTTTATGTGACGGTAAATATTGCGGTTGTTTTGGTTAGTATTTTTATGTGACGGTAAATATTGCGGTTGTTTTGGTTAGGTTTTTGTGTGACAGTAAATATTGCGGTTGTTTTGGTTAGGTTTTTGTGTGACAGTAAATATTGCGGTTGTTTTGGTCAGGTTTTTGTGTGACAATAAATATTGCGGTTGTTTTGGTCAGATTTTTGTGTGACAGTAAATATTGCGGTTGTTTTGGTTAGGTTTTTGTGTGACGGTAAATATTGCGGTTGTTTTGGTTAGGTTTTTGTGTGACGGTAAATATTGCGGTTGTTTTGGTTAGGTTTTTGTGTGACGGTAAATATTGCGGTTGTTTTGGTTAGTTTTTTTATGTGACGGTAAATATTGCGGTTGTTTTGGTCAGGTTTTTGTGTGACGGTAAATATTGCGGTTGTTTTTGTTAGTTTTTTTATGTGACGGTAAATATTGCGGTTGTTTTGGTTAGTTTTTTATGTGACGGTAAATATTGCGGTTGTTTTGGTCAGGTTTTTGTGTGACGGTAAATATTGCGGTTGTTTTGGTTAGTTTTTTATGTGACGGTAAATATTGCGGTTGTTTTGGTTAGTTTTTTTATGTGACGGTAAATATTGCGGTTGTTTTGGTTAGTTTTTTTATGTGACGGTAAATATTGCGGTTGTTTTGGTTAGGTTTTTGTGTGACAGTAAATATTGCGGTTGTTTTGGTTAGGTTTTTGTGTGACAGTAAATATTGCGGTTGTTTTGGTCAGGTTTTTGTGTGACAGTAAATATTGCGGTTGTTTTGGCCAGGTTTTTGTGTGACAGTAAATATTGCGGTTGTTTTGGTTAGGTTTTTGTGTGACGGTAAATATTGCGGTTGTTTTGGTTAGGTTTTTGTGTGACGGTAAATATTGCGGTTGTTTTGGTTAGGTTTTTGTGTGACGGTAAATATTGCGGTTGTTTTGGTCAGGTTTTTTATGTGACGGTAAATATTGCGGTTGTTTTGGTGAGGTTTTTGTGTGACAGTAAATATTGCGGTTGTTTTGGTTGAGAGTGAGCTCCCCTTGAATTCAGCCACCATTTCATCAGCTCTACACACAAAGAGCGATGTGTAAAGTACTCACACACATTTCTCACACACATTTCTCACACACGTTTCTCACACAGATTTCTCACACACATATCCCACACACAACATGAAAACAGGTATTAAGTTAAGATTGTATTCGAGTTGGGCAAGGATTAAAGTTGAGGCTTCCTTATGTTGTACCCGTGTTGGTGTCTTGTTTGTTGAACCGACGTTAGTGTCTTGTTTGTTGTACCGACGTTAGTGTCTTGTTTGTTGTACCGACGTTAGTGTCTTGTTTGTTGTACCGACGTTAGTGTCTTGTTTGTTGTACCGAGATTACTGTGTTGTTTGTTGTACCGACGTTAGTGTCTTGTTTGTTGTACCGACGTTAGTGTCTTGTTTGTTGTACCGACGTTAGTGTCTTGTTTGTTGTACCGACGTTAGTGTCTTGTTTGTTGTACCGAGATTACTGTGTTGTTTGTTGTACCGACGTTAGTGTCTTGTTGTACCGACGTTAGTGTCTTGTTTGTTGTACCGACGTTAGTGTCTTGTTTGTTGTACCGACGTTAGTGTCTTGTTTGTTGTACCGACGTTAGTGTCTTGTTTGTTGTACCGACGTTAGTGTCTTGTACCGACGTTAGTGTCTTGTTTGTTGTACCGAGATTACTGTGTTGTTTGTTGTACCGACGTTAGTGTCTTGTTGTACCGACGTTAGTGTCTTGTTTGTTGTACCGACGTTAGTGTCTTGTTTGTTGTACCGACGTTAGTGTCTTGTTGTACCGACGTTAGTGTCTTGTTTGTTGTACCGACGTTAGTGTCTTGTTGTACCGACGTTAGTGTCTTGTTGTACCGACGTAAGTGTCTTGTTTGTTGTACCGACGTTAGTGTCTTGTTTGTTGTACCGACGTTAGTGTCTTGTTTGTTGTACCGACGTTAGTGTCTTGTTTGTTGTACCGACGTTAGTGTCTTGTTTGTTGTACCGACGTTAGTGTCTTGTTTGTTGTACCGAGATTACTGTGTTGTTTGTTGTACCGACGTTAGTGTCTTGTTTGTTGTACCGACGTTAGTGTCTTGTTTGTTGTACCGACGTTAGTGTCTTGTTGTACCGACGTTAGTGTCTTGTTTGTTGTACCGACGTTAGTGTCTTGTTTGTTGTACCGACGTAAGTGTCTTGTTTGTTGTACCGACGTTAGTGTCTTGTTTGTTGTACCGACGTTAGTGTCTTGTTTGTTGTACCGACGTTAGTGTCTTGTTTGTTGTACCGACGTTAGTGTCTTGTTTGTTGTACCGACGTTAGTGTCTTGTTTGTTGTACCGACGTTAGTGTCTTGTTGTACCGACGTTAGTGTCTTGTTTGTTGTACCGACGTTAGTGTCTTGTTTGTTGTACCGACGTTAGTGTCTTGTACCGACGTTAGTGTCTTGTTTGTTGTACCGACGTTAGTGTCTTGTTTGTTGTACCGACGTTAGTGTCTTGTTTGTTGTACCGACGTTAGTGTCTTGTTTGTTGTACCGACGTTAGTGTCTTGTTTGTTGTACCGACGTTAGTGTCTTGTTTGTTGTACCGACGTTAGTGTCTTGTTTGTTGTACCGACGTTAGTGTCTTGTTTGTTGTACCGACGTTAGTGTCTTGTACCGACGTTAGTGTCTTGTTTGTTGTACCGACGTTAGTGTCTTGTACCGACGTTAGTGTCTTGTTGTACCGACGTTAGTGTCTTGTTGTACCGACGTTAGTGTCTTGTTTGTTGTACCGACGTTAGTGTCTTGTTTGTTGTACCGACGTTAGTGTCTTGTTTGTTGTACCGACGTTAGTGTCTTGTTTGTTGTACCGACGTTAGTGTCTTGTTGTACCGACGTAAGTGTCTTGTTGTACCGACGTTAGTGTCTTGTTTGTTGTACCGACGTTAGTGTCTTGTTTCTTGTACCGACGTTAGTGTCTTGTTTGTTGTACCGACGTCAGTGTCTTGTTTGTTGTACCGAGATTACTGTGTTGTTTGTTGTACCGACGTTAGTGTCTTGTTGTACCGACGTTAGTGTCTTGTTTGTTGTACCGACGTTAGTGTCTTGTTTGTTGTACCGACGTCAGTGTCTTGTTTGTTGTACCGACGTTAGTGTCTTGTTTGTTGTACCGAGATTACTGTGTTGTTTGTTGTACCGACGTTAGTGTCTTGTTTGTTGTACCGACGTTAGTGTCTTGTTTGTTGTACCGACGTTAGTGTCTTGTTGTACCGACGTTAGTGTCTTGTTTGTTGTACCGACGTTAGTGTCTTGTTTGTTGTACCGACGTTAGTGTCTTGTTTGTTGTACCGACGTTAGTGTCTTGTTTGTTGTACCGAGATTACTGTGTTGTTTGTTGTACCGACGTTAGTGTCTTGTTTGTTGTACCGACGTTAGTGTCTTGTTTGTTGTACCGACGTTAGTGTCTTGTTGTACCGACGTTAGTGTCTTGTTTGTTGTACCGACGTTAGTGTCTTGTTGTACCGACGTTAGTGTCTTGTTTGTTGTACCGACGTTAGTGTCTTGTTTGTTGTACCGACGTTAGTGTCTTGTTTGTTGTACCGACGTTAGTGTCTTGTTTGTTGTACCGACGTTAGTGTCTTGTTTGTTGTACCGACGTTAGTGTCTTGTTTGTTGTACCGACGTTAGTGTCTTGTTTGTTGTACCGACGTTAGTGTCTTGTTTGTTGTACCGACGTTAGTGTCTTGTTTGTTGTACCGACGTTAGTGTCTTGTTTGTTTTACCGACGTTAGTGTCTTGTACCGACGTTAGTGTCTTGTTTGTTGTACCGACGTTAGTGTCTTGTTTGTTGTACCGACGTTAGTGTCTTGTTTGTTGTACCGACGTTAGTGTCTTGTTGTACCGACGTTAGTGTCTTGTTTGTTGTACCGACGTTAGTGTCTTGTACCGACGTTAGTGTCTTGTTGTACCGACGTTAGTGTCTTGTACCGACGTTAGTGTCTTGTTTGTTGTACCGACGTTAGTGTCTTGTTTGTTGTACCGACGTTAGTGTCTTGTTTGTTGTACCGACGTTAGTGTCTTGTTGTACCGACGTTAGTGTCTTGTACCGACGTTAGTGTCTTGTATCTCTCTTTCTCTTGGCCACACGACAGCTTCCCCTACTGGAGAAAAAATTCACGAGCTAATCTAATTATAGACCAAATTAGGCGCTGTCTTGTGTTGTTATGGGACTCAAGAAAAAAAAATGTATCAAGACGTTGGGAAGTGAAAGAACGCCATTGTGCTGGATAAAAAAACTTTACCTCAAGGATCAATTATATCTCGACACGGTGTTTTATAAATAGATGTAGATAAAAGTACATATTTTCTAAATTATCTTAATAGATAGAAGAAGCAGACTGCATACATGACGTGTTTAACATATTGTGAGTGTTGGCGGCCATTTCGCCAGTCTTTCAAGCACCAAGGTCTAGATAGTCGGGGTCTCTGTGACCCAGCCCCCGTCTCCTACAGATGTAAGGCAGATTTCTCCACGGGTAGGGGAGGGGTAACTGCGGCTAGGTGGGTGGGGCAGTTGGGGGGGGGGGTGGTGTCTTACGCCAACAAAAAAAGCCGACGTTGTTAGGGAATAATGGACAAAAAGCAGTGCGTTTAGCGGAGCTTAGAAGGTTGTAAATTTACAACAAAGACCAGATCTATGTACGATCGTGTTGCCTCATAGTTCTCATAGTTAGCCAGTCTGAGAGTCTTCCAGAGAAGGTGACCGGCATCGAATCAACCACGGCATGTGATATTAGCACGGCTGGATATGTCACTTAGCTGATAACTGACTTGTTGCTGTCCTTACATCTTATAACTGCCTCGGTTCGTTGCTGTCCTTACATCTTATAACTGACTCGGTTCTTTGCTGTCCTTACATCTTATAACTGACTCGGTTCGTTGCTGTCCTTACATCTTATAACTGACTCGGTTCGTTGCTGTCCTTACATCTTATAACTGACTCGGTTCGTTGCTGTCTTTACATCTTATAACTGACTCCGTTCGTTGCTGTCCTTACATCTTATAACTGACTCCGTTCGTTGCTGTCCTTACATCTTATAACTGACTCCGTTCGTTGCTGTCCTTACATCTTATAACTGACTCGGTTCGTTGCTGTCCTTACATCTTATAACTGACTCGGTTCGTTGCTGTCCTTACATCTTATAACTGACTCGGTTCGTTGCTGTCTTTACATCTTATAACTGACTCCGTTCGTTGCTGTCCTTACATCTTATAACTGACTCGGTTCGTTGCTGTCTTTACATCTTATAACTGACTCCGTTCGTTGCTGTCCTTACATCTTATTACTGACTCCGTTCGTTGCTGTCCTTACATCTTATAACTGACTCCGTTCGTTGCTGTCCTTACATCTTATAACTGACCCTGGACCATGGATAGATAAAAAAAACAAAAGGCCCTTGACCATGACCCAAACTAAGAGAGGGGCCTAGCCTAATCCGTTTTGCTAAATTACTTTGAGAAAATTTACTCAATGCACGTTTTCGATTGAGTTTGTGTTCAATATAACTAAATAGGCTATAGGCCTACTGTGTGTGGTCGTGTGTTGTGTTTGTGTGTTTGGTTAATAAATAGATGAGACGAAAAAAAATGGAGACAACTTTTTAAGTGGAATTTAAAGAATTATGTTGTGTAAAAAAAGAATTGAAAAGGAAACTAGCCTACGTGTTCCAAGCAAACGACGTAAATATGCCGGCAAACAGCTGGATAGCAACAAAATAGCTGGAGCTAATTAGGGATAAGCACATCACGATTGTTTCAAAATAAATGCTTCAAAACTTGAGCCTAATTAATCATTGAGCTAAGCAAACTTGTTACTCCGTATAGGCTTCAGATGGGCTGTACAAAGTGGGAGGGGGGGGGGGGGGGGGAAAGAAGTAGGGAACAACCTACTATATCTAGGTCAGATATTTTTAACTCGTGACGTCGTCGGGACTACTTTCTTCACATATAAACACGACTCAGCGTCGTCCTTTCCACCTCTTTTCGGGGGCTTCTGGGGTCATGTTTATATAGTTAACCCCAGCGCTCTTTCTGCACATCCTCCCTCCCCGGCCCCTCCCGTGGTGAGAGTTAACCGAGTTAAAAATAGTTGCAGGAGAAATATCATGAAACCACTTGCTCCAAGGTAAGGACAAAGTCAGTAGACATCCATCAAGTCGACTGACAGACTGCTAGACTGGCATAAGCAACAATACATCATCGGGATAATTTGTAGATTCAGTGTGGGGGGGGGGGGGGGGGGGGGGATGCACTGTCTTACGAAACTGTGTTTCAGTTTTTAATGTATTTTTAAAACATAAATAAACCTTTTTGATGTTTTAATTTTTTTGTAGTTGAAAGAGCGCCGAACAGTTATTTCGTTTCTTCTCCCGCTCATTTTTAAGCGAACAAAAAATTTGGTTGTGAAAGTAAGTTTTTCACTGCAGAAGTTTTTTTATTCGAATATGAAAATATTGTTTATAGGTTTGAAATGAATGCGCTGTAAAGTTTAACGGCCAAATAACGACTTTAAGCTTAAAAAAAATGATTGTTTAAAAAAAGGAGGTAAAAATGGAAATCTTTGGGAGAGTGCGGCTTTTCTTTTTTATAATTTTAAAATATTTAAAATTTTTTTTTTATACTTTTGTTGTGACTGAGGGGGTTGTTTCGATATTTCACGTCGCTAAATGTTCATCGTTAAGATTGATGGCGATGTTGTGGATGTTGCTGATGGTGTTGATGATGATGTGGATGTTGTTGATGGCGATGCTGTGGATGTTGTTGATGGCGATGCTGTGGATGTTGCTGATGGTGTTGATGATGCTGTGGATGTTGTTGATGGCGATGCTGTGGATGTTGTTGATGGTGTTGATGATGCTGTGGATGTTGTTGATGGCGATGCTGTGGATGTTGTTGATGGCGATGCTGTGGATGTTGTTGAAGGCGATGCTGTGGATGTTGTTGATGGCGATGCTGTGGATGTTGCTGATGGTGTTGATGATGCTGTGGATGTTGTTGATGGCGATGCTGTGGATGTTGTTGATGGTGTTGATGATGCTGTGGATGTTGTTGATGGCGATGCTGTGGATGTTGTTGATGGCGATGCTGTGGATGTTGTTGATGGCGATGCTGTGGATGTTGTTGATGGCGATGCTGTGGATGTTGTTGATGGTGATGCTGTGTATGTTGTTGATGGCGATGCTGTGGATGTTTTTGATGGCGATGCTGTGGATGTTGTTGATGGCGATGCTGTGGATGTTGTTGATGGCGATGCTGTGGATGTTGTTGATTGTGATGCTGTGGATGTTTTTGATGGCGATGCTGTGGATGTTGTTGAAGGCGATGCTGTGGATGTTGTTGATGGCGATGCTGTGGATGTTGTTGATAGCGATGCTGTGTATGTTGTTGATAGTGATGCTGTGGATGTTGTTGATGGCGATGCTGTGGATGTTGTTGATAGTGATGCTGTGTATGTTGTTGATGGTGATGCTGTGTATGTTGTTGATAGTGATGTTGTGTATGTTGTTGATGGTGATGCTGTGTATGTTGTTGATAGCGATGCTGTGTATGTTGTTGATGGTGATGCTGTGTATGTTGTTGATGGTGATGCTGTGTATGTTGTTGATGGTGATGCTGTGGATGTTGTTGATAGCGATGCTGTGTATGTTGTTGATGGCGATGCTCTGGATGTTGTTGATGGCGATGCTGTGGATGTTGTTGATAGCGATGCTCTGGATGTTTTTGATGGCGATGCTGTGGATGTTGTTGATGGCGATGCTGTGTATGTTGTTGATGGCGATGCTGTGGATGTTGTTGATAGCGATGCTGTGTATGTTGTTGATGGTGATGCTGTGGATGTTGTTGATAGCGATGCTGTGTATGTTGTTGATGGTGATGCTGTGTATGTTGTTGATGGTGATGCTGTGTATGTTGTTGATGGTGATGCTGTGGATGTTGTTGATAGCGATGCTGTGTATGTTGTTGATGGCGATGCTCTGGATGTTGTTGATGGCGATGCTGTGGATGTTGTTGATAGCGATGCTCTGGATGTTTTTGATGGCGATGCTGTGGATGTTGTTGATGGTGATGCTGTGTATGTTGTTGATGGCGATGCTGTGGATGTTGTTGATAGCGATGCTGTGTATGTTGTTGATGGTGATGCTGTGTATGTTGTTGATGGTGATGCTGTGGTTTTCCTGATGACCTAAGATGTGTACTCGGCCCGGGCAAGTTTGCTGACGTGAAGTCCACGTCACTACCTAGTTGACCAGCTAGCTTCCCGTAGCAGGAACATGTTCGCGGCCCCCACAGGTCAGGTGTGAGGGTGTGAGGAGCCCCCACAGGTCAGGTGTGGGGCTGCCCCACATTTGGCGGGGCTGTGCCAGGTGACAGATCAAACATGGATGGTGTGCAGGTGTGCAGGTGTGCTGCGCATGACCTTGAGCTAGAATGTTCAAGACAAAATCTGTTGACAAACAAGCGCTCATTACATCCCCCCAACACGTACACACACACGTACACACACACACGCACACATACACACACTGGCCATAACGCTGCCTTTCTAAACTTTACATTCTGGGCGCCATGTGCGAGGTTCATTAGCAGGTCGTGTCACCTTTAAACACCGACAGGAACCAAATGCCCTGAACTTTAAGCACCTCTATCTTAAACTTATCTTCTGAAATTATCTTCCGACACATTTATCTATAACCACACAATGCACCCAACACATTTATCTATAACCACACAATGCACCATGCACATTTATCTGATCTAAAACAGACCTAAGAAATTTCCCCCCCCCCCCCCCCATGATATCTGTTTCATCTCAAAATTGTTTTCTTAATCGCGCCAAAAAATGCGCTTGAGCTAAAAATAGTAGGCGGTAATCTCAGCGCTGGAAGATACCTTCTGCTGTTTTGTGTATTCTCATAAATAATTCCACCTCATTGGCCGTCAAAAGATTAAATTAGAAAACCTCAAGGTTTGGTTTTTATGAAAGGAAGGTTGCAATGTTCGAGTTCATGTCTTGAAGGCAACTCCAGTCAGCTTGAAAGTACACAAGGAAGATTGTTTTAAATCGCTTTCAGATTAGAGGAGATGAGTTGGATTCACGTCATCTTGACATTTGGCTTTAAGGTGAATGTGTTAGCTTCAAGCGGGCAATGTATGTGTGAGGTAGGATACAATATGTGGTCCATGTTGACCCCCCACACTTGTCAATGTTGACTCCCCACACTTGTCAATGTTGACTCCCTCACACTTGTCAATGTTGACTCCCCACACTTGTCAATGTTGACTCCCCCACACTTGTCAATGTTGACTCCCCCACACTTGTCAATGTTGACTCCCCCACACTTGTCAATGTTGACTCCCCCAACACTTGTCAATGTTGACTCCCCCACACTTGTCAATGTTGACTCCCCCACACTTGTCGATGTTGACTCCCCCAACACTTGTCAATGTTGACTCCCCCACACTTGTCAATGTTGACTCCCCTACACTTGTCAATGTTGACTCCCCCAACACTTGTCAATGTTGACTCCCCCACACTTGTCAATGTTGACTCCCCTAACTTGTCGATGTTGACTCCCCACACTTGTCAATGTTGACTCCCCCACACTTGTCAATGTTGACTCCCCCAACACTTGTCAATGTTGACTCCCCACACTTGTCAATGTTGACTCCCCCACACTTGTCAATGTTGACTCCCCCAACACTTGTCAATGTTGACTCCCCCACACTTGTCAATGTTGACTCCCCCACACTTGTCAATGTTGACTCCCCCACACTTGTCAATGTTGACTCCCCCAACACTTGTCAATGTTGACTCCCCCACACTTGTCAATGTTGACTCCCCCCACACTTGTCAATGTTGACTCCCCCACACTTGTCAATGTTGACTCCCCCAACACTTGTCAATGTTGACCTACCCACACTGGTCAATATTGACACACACACACATACACACACACCATCTTTGAAAATTGAACCCAAGATAGTTTTTTTGTCAGCTCTAACTATAAATAGAAATAAAGTTTTTTAGTTGTAGAAAAAGTTGTAGTATGTATAGTGAGTTATAGTTTCTTGAAATATTTTAATAACAGTATTCTAAAAAATTGATAGCCATAATATTTACAGGTTGTACTAGTTTGCTCAACTTTTTTTTACCGTAAACCCGACATTTCTGAGTGGATTAGAGGGCGTCAATAATTGTCATCTAGTGACGTCTAGGGACGTCAATAGTTGTCAGCTAGTATTAGACGTCTTGGGACGTCAATAATTGTCAGCTAGTGACGTCTAGGGACGTCAATAATTGTCAGTTAGTGACGTCTGGGTCTAGGGACGTCAATAATTGTCAGCTAGTGACGTCTAGGGATGGCTAAAACTGAAAGAACTAGGTTGACTGGCGTCACTGCGTCTGATAAATTGGGTAATTAATTACTTTCTAATCAAGGAACTTCCCGCATCAAACACATGGGAAATATTAAGGGGTTGGACAAGAGTGTCTGTTACAGGGTTTCTGTGACAGGGTTTCTGTGACAAGGTTTCTGTGACAGGGTTTCTGTGACAGGGTTTCTGTGACAGGGTTTCTGTGACAGGGTTTCTGTGACAGGGTTTCTGTGACAGGGTTTCTGTGACAGGGTTTCTGTGACAGGGTTTCTGTGACAGGGTTTCTGTGACAGGGTTTCTGTGACAGGGTTTCTGTGACAGGGTTTCTGTGACAGGGTTTCTGTGACAGGGTTTCTGTGACAGGGTTTCTGTGACAGGGTTTCTGTGACAGGGTTTCTGTGACAGGGTTTCTGTGACAGGGTTTCTGTGACAGGGTTTCTGTGACAGGGTTTCTGTGACAGGGTTTCTGTGACAGGGTTTCTGTGACAGGGTTTCTGTGACAGGGTTTCTGTGACAGGGTTTCTGTGACAGGGTTTCTGTGACAGGGTTTCTGTGACAGGGTTTCTGTGACAGGGTTTCTGTGACAGGGTTTCTGTGACAGGGTTTCTGTGACAGGGTTTCTAGCCTGTTTGTAGCCGTACATGTAAACACTGTAGCGGCTGGATAGACAAACTTAGATAGACAAACTTAGATAGACAAACTTAGATAGACAAACTTAGATAGACAAACTTAGATAGACAAACTTAGATAGACAAACTTAGATAGACAAACTTAGATAGACAAACTTAGATAGACAAACTTAGATAGACAAACTTAGATAGACAAACTTAGATAGACAAACTTAGATAGACAAACTTAGACAAACTTAGATAGACAAACTTAGATAGACAAACTTAGATAGACAAACTTAGATAGACAAACTTAGACAAACTTAGATAGACAAACTTAGATAGACAAACTTAGATAGACAAACTTAGATAGACAAACTTAGATAGACAAACTTAGATAGACAAACTTAGATAGACAAACTTAGATAGACAAACTTAGATAGACAAACTTAGATAGACAAACTTAGATAGACAAACTTAGATAGACAAACTTAGATAGACAAACTTAGATAGACAAACTTAGATAGACAAACTTAGATAGACAAACTTAGATAGACAAACTTAGATAGACAAACTTAGATAGACAAACTTAGATAGACAAACTTAGATAGACAAACTTAGATAGACAAACTTAGATAGACAAACTTAGATAGACAAACTTAGATAGACAAACTTAGATAGACAAACTTAGATAGACAAACTTAGATAGACAAACTTAGATAGACAAACTTAGATAGACAAACTTAGATAGACAAACTTAGATAGACAAACTTAGATAGACAAACTTAGATAGACAAACTTAGATAGACAAACTTAGATAGACAAACTTAGATAGACAAACTTAGATAGACAAACTTAGATAGACAAACTTAGATAGACAAACTTAGATAGACAAACTTAGATAGACAAACTTAGATAGACAAACTTAGATAGACAAACTTAGATAGACAAACTTAGACAAACTTAGATAGACAAACTTAGATAGACAAACTTAGATAGACAAACTTAGATAGACAAACTTAGATATACAAACTTAGATAGACAAACTTAGACAAGATAGGCAAACTAAGACAAATTTAGATAGACAAACTTAGATAGACAAACTTAGATAGACAAACTTAGATAGACAAACTTAGATAGACAAACTTAGATAGACAAACTTAGATAGACAAACTTAGATAGACAAACTTAGATAGACAAACTTAGATAGACAAACTTAGATAGACAAACTTAGATAGACAAACTTAGATAGACAAACTTAGATAGACAAACTTAGATAGACAAACTTAGATAGACAAACTTAGATAGACAAACTTAGATAGACAAACTTAGATAGACAAACTTAGATAGACAAACTTAGATAGACAAACTTAGATAGACAAACTTAGATAGACAAACTTAGATAGACAAACTTAGATAGACAAACTTAGATAGACAAACTTAGATAGACAAACTTAGATAGACAAACTTAGATAGACAAACTTAGATAGACAAACTTAGATAGACAAACTTAGATAGACAAACTTAGATAGACAAACTTAGATAGACAAACTTAGACAAACTTAGATAGACAAACTTAGATAGACAAACTTAGATAGACAAACTTAGATAGACAAACTTAGACAAACTTAGATAGACAAACTTAGATAGACAAACTTAGATAGACAAACTTAGATAGACAAACTTAGATAGACAAACTTAGATAGACAAACTTAGATAGACAAACTTAGATAGACAAACTTAGATAGACAAACTTAGATAGACAAACTTAGATAGACAAACTTAGATAGACAAACTTAGATAGACAAACTTAGATAGACAAACTTAGATAGACAAACTTAGATAGACAAACTTAGATAGACAAACTTAGATAGACAAACTTAGATAGACAAACTTAGATAGACAAACTTAGATAGACAAACTTAGATAGACAAACTTAGATAGACAAACTTAGATAGACAAACTTAGATAGACAAACTTAGATAGACAAACTTAGATAGACAAACTTAGATAGACAAACTTAGATAGACAAACTTAGATAGACAAACTTAGATAGACAAACTTAGATAGACAAACTTAGATAGACAAACTTAGACAAACTTAGATAGACAAACTTAGATAGACAAACTTAGATAGACAAACTTAGATAGACAAACTTAGATATACAAACTTAGATAGACAAACTTAGACAAGATAGGCAAACTAAGACAAATTTAGATAGACAAACTTAGATAGACAAACTTAGATAGACAAACTTAGATAGACAAACTTAGATAGACAAACTTAGATAGACAAACTTAGATAGACAAACTTAGATAGACAAACTTAGATAGACAAACTTAGATAGACAAACTTAGATAGACAAACTTAGATAGACAAACTTAGATAGACAAACTTAGATAGACAAACTTAGATAGACAAACTTAGATAGACAAACTTAGATAGACAAACTTAGATAGACAAACTTAGATAGACAAACTTAGATAGACAAACTTAGATAGACAAACTTAGATAGACAAACTTAGATAGACAAACTTAGATAGACAAACTTAGATAGACAAACTTAGATAGACAAACTTAGATAGACAAACTTAGATAGACAAACTTAGATAGACAAACTTAGACAAACTTAGATAGACAAACTTAGATAGACAAACTTAGATAGACAAACTTAGATAGACAAACTTAGATATACAAACTTAGATAGACAAACTTAGACAAGATAGGCAAACTAAGACAAATTTAGATAGACAAACTTAGATAGACAAACTTAGATAGACAAACTTAGATAGACAAACTTAGATAGACAAACTTAGATAGACAAACTTAGATAGACAAACTTAGATAGACAAACTTAGATAGACAAACTTAGATAGACAAACTTAGATAGACAAACTTAGATAGACAAACTTAGATAGACAAACTTAGATAGACAAACTTAGATAGACAAACTTAGATAGACAAACTTAGATAGACAAACTTAGACAAGATAGGCAAACTAAGACAAATTTAGATAGACAAACTTAGATAGATAAATTTAGATAGACAAACTTAGATAGACAAACTTAGATAGACAAACTTAGATAGACAAACTTAGATAGACAAATTTAGACAAACTTAGATAGACAAACTTAGATAGACAAACTTAGATAGACAAACTTAGATAGACAAACGTAGATAGACAAACTTAGATAGACAAACTTAGATAGACAAACTTAGACAAACTTAGATAGACAAACTTAGATAGACAAACTTAGACAAACTTAGATAGACAAACTTAGATAGACAAACTTAGATAGACAAACTTAGATAAATTTAGATGGACACATTTGGAGAGACAGACTTGGAGAGACAAACTTGGAGAGACAGACTTGGAATTTAATTCTACCAAGTAAGAGAAGTAATTAATAGTTTACCAATTTGATAACGGTCTAAATATCTAATTTGACATCAGGCAGATACTAATTGGTAAGATGGAAAGTAATCGCTTCAAGGTGAACTGCCCGCACTAAACACATGCTCACAGTTTGTGTTGATCGGATTTTCCAGATTGTTCCACCCCCACAGTCCCACACCCCTGCTGTTATCTCCTGGGCTTGTTGATATCCCTTCCAAGTTTTCTGTGGTGCCATTCACACTTTGTACCCTGTGTGTAGGGCTTTGGTTTAAAAAGTCCGTGTAAATACAGTTCATTGTACCATGTGTGTAGAGCTTTGGTTTAAAAAGTCTCTGTAAATACAGTCAATTGTAAAACATATTTTATGTCTATCTTGAATAAAATTATTTTGCTCTAAGCTGAAGTAGAAAATGAATCAATGTCAATGTTTTTAAAGTCTAGCATTTATTTTATAGAACTTTCTGTTTAAAGTCAAGAAATTTTTTGTAGAACTTTCTGTTTAAAGTCAAGAAATGTTTTGTAGAACTTTCTGTTTAAAGTCAAGAAATGTTTTGTACAACTTTATGTTTCAAGCCAAGAAATATTTTGTAGAACTTTATGTTTAAAGCCAACAAATGTATTGTACAACTTTATGTTTAAAGTCAAGAAATATTTTGTACAACTTTATGTTTAAAGTCAAGAAATGTTTTGTATAACTTTATGTTTAAAGTCAAGAAATGTTTTGAACAACTTTATGTTTAAAGTCAAGTAATGTTTTGTAGAACTTTCTGTTTAAAGTCAAGAAATGTTTTGTACAACTTTATGTTTAAAGTCAAGAAATGTTTTGAAGAACTTTCTGTCTAAAGTCAAGAAATGTGTTGTACAACTTTATGTTTAAAGTCAAGAAATGTTTTGTACAACTTTATGTTTAAAGTCAAGAAATGTTTTGTACAACTTTATGTTTAAAGTCAAGAAATGTTTTGAACAACTTTATGTTTAAAGTCAAGAAATGTTTTGTACAACTTTATGTTTAAAGTCAAGAAATGTTTTGAAGAACTTTCTGTCTAAAGTCAAGAAATGTGTTGTACAACTTTATGTTTAAAGTCAAGAAATGTTTTGTACAACTTTATGTTTCAAGCCAAGTAATGTTTTGTAGAACTTTATGTTTAAAGTCAAGAAATGTTTTGTACAACTTTATGTTTAAAGTCAAGAAATGTTTTGAAGAACTTTCTGTCTAAAGTCAAGAAATGTGTTGTACAACTTTATGTTTAAAGTCAAGAAATGTTTTGTACAACTTTATGTTTAAAGTCAAGAAATGTTTTGTATAACTTTATGTTTAAAGTCAAGAAATGTTTTGTATAACTTTATGTTTAAAGTCAAGAAATGTTTTGAAGAACTTTATGTTTAAAGTCAAGAAATGTTTTGTAAAGCTTTCTGTTTAAAGTCAAGAAATGTTTTGTAGTCAAGAAATGTGTTGTACAACTTTATGATTAAAGTCAAGAAATGTTTTGTAGAACTTTATGTTTAAAGTCAAGAAATGTTTTGTACAACTTTATGTTTAAAGTCAAGAAATGTTTTGTACAACTTTATGATTAAAGTCAAGAAATGTTTTGTACAACTTTATGATTAAAGTCAAGAAATGTTTTGTACAACTTAATG